TGTGTGAAGGTTGAGTTGTTCTTGAGCGTACTTAGTTTACTCATAATCTACTCTATAAGAGAGTCTCGTTCTTGAGTGTACTTGTGTTCTTAGACACGTTGAGAGATAGTATCTCTCTCGGTTGATTCAAAGGAAGGTCTGTTTCCTTTGAAGGATTCGTTGAGGTTCGTGTGACTCGAACTCTCAAGTTGTAACGGTTTGTTAAGCACCCGTAAGCTTAACGAGATAGTAGTGTAGCTCGAGAGAGTCTCTCAGGAGGCTGGATTAGCCACAAGTTGTGGTGAACCAGGGTAAAATTCGGTGTGCCTCTTACTCTTCTCTTTACTTCTCTTTTAATTTTTTAATTCCTGCGATTTCTCCGATGAAACGCTATTCACCCCCCCTCTAGCGTTGGTCTATTATTCTAACATGGCGTAGAGATGGGGCGATAGGAGACCATCCCAGCCCGCTCGAGGATGTCATGGGTAAACTGAGTCTGATAGAGGAACATCCCAGTGGAGGTGCGATGGACATTGATGCCGAGGAAGAAAGGTAAGTCGCCCATGTCTATCATGGCAAACTCAGCCTTGAGTTTCCGAATGATGCTCTGAAGGAGTGCAGGTGAAGAAGCAGTGAGAACGATGTCGTCGACATAAAGTAAGAGATAGGCCGTGCCCGTGGCATGAGAAAAAGTGAAGAGGGACGTGTCAGACTTGCACCCTTGAAACCCAATAGTCTGAATGAAACCTGCAAACCTGTGATACCATGAACGAGGTGCCTGCTTGAGGCCGTACAAGGCCTTTTTGAGCTTACAGACATGATGAGGGCGTTTGGCATCCTGGAACCCAGACGGCTGACTGGCATACACGGTTTCCTGAAGCTGGCCATGGAGGAATGCATTCTTGACATCTAGCTGATGAATGGGCCAACCGCGAGACAGAGCGAGACTAAGGACGACGCGGACAGTGGCAAGCTTGATAACGGGGCTGAACGTTTCACCGTAGTCGACGCCAAAACGCTGATTGAAACCACGAACAACCCATCGAGCCATATACCTGGTTAACTCACCTGAAGGGCCAAGTTTGTGTCTGAAGAGCCATGTGTCATTCTTGATCAAAGCATTATATTTATCACACATAGGAGCATGCCAGTTTGGATCCTTGAGAGCACTACGGTAAGTTGGGGGTAAGGGGGAAATGGGTGCAGAGGTGTTGAGATTTAGGATTTGTTTGGGGAAAAAGGTACCAGCTTTGGATCGGGTTTGCATTGGGTGGACGTTGGGCAAGGAGGGGGGTGGTTCTGTCGTGGGCTGGGTGTGGGTTTCGGGTGTGGTGTGGGGGC